TTCTTTTTAAATGTCTTCCAATGTTTGATTAATGATTTATCTTGATGCTGATGCATACTAAAAATCATGTTTCATTTTTTCCAATGCTAATCCTTGATCATCTTTTTCTAATCATCCTCTTCTTACTATTCTTATTCTTAATCAATTTTCTTCCTTTTAACCCTCTTTTCTATTCTAATCCTTTGGTTTAATTGTGTTTTAAAGGGAGTGATCGCGTTCGCGAAAAATATAAGGGGGTATAGGCTTGTGTCGAAAAATAAGCGCTTTTGATTGCTACTAATTATTACTTCTATCTGTTACGTCTATAAGGAGAAAATTGTTAAAAATCTACTAATCGTAGTGTCGATACAAATTCCGAAAGATGCAACATTCAACTCGGATCGTAAACAAATCTATTTGATTCCAAGCAAATCATTCAGTTATTACAAACAATAGTCATCGATTATTTGTCGACGCATTCGTAAATAGTTGATATTTCATAATATTTAGTATTTTTCATGATCTGAGAGTTACTTTTGAAAACATTTATTCCTGTTTCGAGGATTTTTGATAATAAAGACGACATTTTCATATTTTTCTGGAATGTTTGAAAATCTAGCGCCAGCGAAAATTATTTAAAAAAACAAAATCAAAAATATTATGAAATATTAACTATATACGAATGCGTCGAAAAATAATCGATGACTATTGTTTGTAATATCTGAATGATTTGTTCGGAATTAAATTGATTTGTTTACGATCCGAGTTGATTGCTGCATCTCTCTGAATTTGTATGGACGCTGCGTTCTTTGGTGTGAGTCGTTTTTAACAATTTTCTCCTTATAGACGCAACAGATAGAAGTTAGATAAGTAACGAGCAGAAGCGCTTATTTTTCGCCGTAAACCTATACCCCCTTTCTTTTTTCGTGATCACCCCCTTTACCGATGAGTTATTAATACTACTCCGCTCCTCCAAACTATGATAAACTTCATGATGTATTAAGAGTATCTAAAGATATCTAAACTCTGTCTCTAGAGTCCAACCTGGATTATGATTCCTCCAGTGCAGTCTTAAAGCATATTTGTCTGTGAACCGTATGTAACCTTATATCTGGAGCAGGAATAAAATAGTTTAATTATTTTTATGGTTTAGCTGAACCAGTGGTGCCAACCTGCAATATAATATATTAATATTCAGTTCTTCGCATTTAAGTTTTTTTATCATTTTAGCCATATTCAGCAGTTTATTTACAAGATAATTCAGTAAAATTAAATAAGTATTAATCACTGATTTGTCGTTCAAACCCTATGTACAGAAAAGTGTGGTGTTTTTAGTAAAAAAAATAATATCAGACGGAAGAAAATTCGTAAAGTTAAAAATTTTGATAAATCATCTGCGCACAGTACAATAAAAAACATTATATTATGGAATGGAGTGGATTTGAGTATCACTGAATTAATTTAGAACAGGCACAATATTGTATCTGAGCAACTAAGTTTTTTAATCCATATCCTGGAGTTTGAACTTCTGCGTTTTTAATATCTGGTTCAATCATTGATCTCCATCTTATGCAGATCTTCAGTTTAATTTAATTCCTCTTAGATACCCTGCAGGGAGAATTTTATAGATCAAGCATTGATCTCCATCTTATGCAGATCTACAGATCAATTTAATTCCTCTTAGATACCCTGCAGGGACAATTTAATAGATCAAGCATTGATCTCCATCTTATGCAGATCTACAGATCAATTTAATTCCTCTTAGATACCCTGCAGGGACAATTTAATAGATCAAGCATTGATCTCTATTTTATGCAGATCTACTGATCAATATAATTCCTCTTAGATACCCTGCAGGGACAATTAATTAATAAATGCATAGATCCTCAAATTTTAAATTTTAATTTGTGCTCCACATATCATAGTTGCATGGATCTCTGAGTCTAGAGCACAGTTGTTTAAGATATTACTCTAGATCCTAATACCAGATTATTTGTTTAGTTGCGTGGATCTCTGAGTCTAGAGCACAATGGTTTAAGATATTACTCTAGATCCTAATACCAGATTATTTGTTTAGTTGCATGGATTACTGAGTCTAGAGCACAGTGGTTTAAGCTGTTACTATAGATCCTAATACCAGATTATTTGTTTAGTTGCATGGATTACTGAGTTTAGAGCGCAGTGGTTTAAGCTGTTACTCTAGATCCTAATACCAGATTGTTTGTTTAGTTGCATGGATTACTGAGTTTAGAGCACAGTGGTTTAAGATGTTACTCTAGATCCCGATACCAGATTGTTTGTTTAGTTGCATGGATTACTTAGTCTAGAGCACAGTGGTTTAAGATGTTACTCTAGATCCTGATGCCAGATTGTTTGTTTATTTGCATGGATTACTCAGTCTAGAGCACAGTGGTTTAAGTTGTTCTATAGATCCTAATGCCAGATTATTTGTTTAGTTGCATGGAATACTGAGTCTAGAGCACAGTGGTAGACCAGCAAACTCTAATGATGGATCCTGTATAACTGTTCTAATATCTGTAAAGGTAAACTAGTCTCAAACATATTCAATGCAGAGCTATTCTAAAAAATGGAATTATATTAATTGATAGAAGACTAGGAAGTCGTCTTTGACCGTAGAAAAACTCCTATTCACAGCTTTTAACTTGTTATTTCAAAGCACAGTTGGTTTACTTTCTTTCACACTGGTCTATACTTTCTTAAATAGCCATTGCTAGAAACCCCGGTTTTATGTGTAAATTTCAAATAAGTAAATATTTATATTTTTTATCAGAACGATTAAATATTTAAACTTTTTTCAAGATCAACGGAAAAATTATAAAATCGATCGATCTTTTTGGCCCTCGGTAAAATCTTTGAGAGGAACTTTACCATAAGTTTTGGAACTAATGGTTTTAATACTCTGGAAAGTAATTCAAGCAAAGTTTGAAAGAAAAAGAAAATAATTCTTTTTGAGTTGATTAGTTATTGTCTAGATCCCGTTGGAGTCTGTTTGTTTGATTGACAAGTACGCCTGGTTGGAGCTAGAGAGAGGGTTAGGAGACTTAATCCTCAATAGGCTTGCAAAGAATATGACAGTTCCTCTTGTCGTTATTAGATAAACTCCTAGAGCTTCAAGGGTTTATAATAAACTCCAGGAGTTTCAGGGGTTTATAATAAACTCCAGGAGCTTCAGGGGTTTATAATGAACTCCAGGAGTTTCAGGGGCTTATAATGAACTCCAGGAGCTTCAGCGGTTTATAATAAACTCCAGGAGCTTCATGGGTTTATAATAAACTCCAGGAGCTTCATGGGTTTATAATAAACTCCAGGAGCTTCATGGGTTTATAATAAACACCAGGAGCTTCATGGGTTTATAATGAACTCCAGGAGCTTCAGGGGTTTATAATAAACTCCAGGAGCTTCAGGGGTTTATAATGAACTCCAGGAGCTTCAGGGGTTTATAATGAACTGCTTTATATTACAGGCATAGATAAAGTGAAATAAATCAAAACTGGATAATTCGGGGGGCATGGTTTATATTTTTTGCTCCCATTGAATATTGTTTTGCCAATATTAAAGTATTTTTATACTTAAAATCTTGAATTACATAAAACGAGTCTGTTGAAGATCATCATTTGAACTTAAAAATTAAATAACATGATAAGATCTGAGTCTTGATGTCTCTAATTTTTTAAGAAAAAAATAATATTTATCTTTATCCTATTCTACCAGTTAATTTAAAATGTGTTTGTTATATTTATCGAGTTTACTTCATAAATAATAAATGTATGTTATACAAATTGTTTATTTCAAACAACAAAAAAATTTGGTCTTCGACTTGTGAATAACCGAAACCAGATTTTAGATATGTATGTATGTTTCTAAGAATTTCTAAACCTAAACCTAAATCAAAGGATTTATATAATCTCGAAATCGTTTGACCTTTTTAGATAAGTTTTCTTAAAAAATTGTTTATTCTTTTAAAAAAAATAGTGATAAGAATCCTAAAAAATGTTAAAAATGTAAATATTGAGAAAGTTTTTACCTCTTTAAGCCTTAAAACGATCAAATGGCACAATGAGAATTAAAATAACATCAAGTTTAGACGAGCAATTTTATCAAGTTTAAAATGTGAATACAATTAGACTTTAGGAAGATGTTGATCGATATCGTAAAGAAATCATGAATAAGTAATATAAATGTCTAATTTATAGCGATTTTTGTTGAATTAAAGTATCCACTAAGTTTCCAAAAAAAATGAATCGTTACATATTAGTTTTAAAATTAAACACGACATTTGTAATTATATTAAGATTATTTTGGATAAAAATTTGATTTTAAATGCAAAACAATTATTAAAGGATAACGGAAGTCGACATTTTTCAACTTTACGTTGGTAAATTATGAATATTTTATTTGTGCTCTGTAGTTTAACGAATTCATAGATGATAGAAGTAGGAAAAAGTCTCTTTGGTTTTTAAATATTTGTAGATCTTTTTTTCCAATCCTGATTATCGCTTATTTATTTCTTATTTAAAATTTTTTATTATTTTTATTCCGTAAATTTCTCGCATTATATCAAAATTCTGGAAGATATATAATGGTTCCATGGTTCCATGGTTCCATGCTTCATATCAGAATATAATAAAGTATCCTTTAAGGCTGGGAAAAGTTTTCGACGTTTTTTGTATCTATCAGCTTTTAGTCCTAATGCTCCAAAATTTTCTCTGTGGAAGATGTTTCCTGAATGATTAATATATTTTTTAATTAAGAACGAAAACTGTTTTGGATTTCATCATTTGTATAAAATAATACATTTCAAGTAATTTTGAAGAAGTTTTAGGTACAGCTGGTGTCCCACTAAACATGACAGTAGCAAGACGTCTTAAAAGTCGTCTTTGATATTGGATTTTATTTTGACATTCAGTCGTCAAACTACTTTAACATGTATGATTCTTGAAACAATAGTCACAACATTTTCCCAATCCTGGCATTTCCAAAATGTGGTCTGCCTTTTTTGTGCTGTTATATTACCAGAGATGTTAAGAATTTCGTTCAGATTTCAATTTTGTTATGTAAAACCAAAATTGTTGAAATCTGAAGGAAATTCTTGATATTTCGGGTAATATAAAAGCAGAGCACATTTTGGAAATGCCAGGACTAAGGGTATTTTTGATTATTAACTCAAAAATTTTACTCATAAAAACAATGTTGACAAATATATGCAGAAAATTATATTAACAATAAAAGACGACGTTTAAATCGTCTTACTACTGTCATGTTTCTTGGGACTCCCTGTACCTAATTTCTATTATTATTACATAAAAATCACTAGATTCGACACTTTTCTTTTCTTCATCAAGCATTCTTATATGGCAGGGCTAGTTTTACTCCTATCATGTGTTTGTAACTGAAGTTCTCTAGGAGATCATTCGTCCTGTAGTATCCAATTAGCTCTGTTATCGACTGAAAACTACGAGCTTGAGAAAAGCTGAATTTTTCACAATTGTGTTGATCTAGTTCACAGAATATCTTGAGATGTTTAACTCCCTCAGAAGTTTTTATATCCAGAGCAAAGTCTTGACCTGGTCCTCGTTGTCTCACAAGGAAGGTTCCAACCGGGAGAGATTTTAATCTATCCGTCCCTGTCTCCAGGGAGATCCTTCCTGCATACCAGGCCTGATACTCCAAAGGTAGATTACTCTAAATCAAGCAAGATTGTAATTAAAAAAATCAAGAAACATTTCAATTTCTCAAGAAAGGGCGATGATTCTTATCAATAAAAGTTATCTGCTTTGAAACCAGAATCAATGGTCTGGTTGAAGATTCATTTTAGATAAACTAACTTCGGGATTTTTTATCCAATGAACGACAATAAACTTAAAGCTGTTGTTGTTTAAATGAAAAGTGTTTAAAAAATTTAAGACTTCTGATCAAAAATATTTTTATTATTTGTTGAAAAAAAAGATAATTCTCACCGATTCCTCCGCCCACTCCGCCTGAAGCTGGCGGACTTGCTCCGAGTTATCTCTCTGCACCATAGCCAAGGATAGAGTTGAACCCATAGATCCTCGATCTGACAGGGTTGGTAGAACTATACTCCCAGCTCTTCTAAACTCCACACCGTGCTCTAGTACGGAGCAGGACGTTTCTTGATAACAGTTCAGATGAAGAACTTTGAGACAGGTTCGGCACCTAAATTTATAAACAGTTTGGGTTTGAGTCTCTTAAGTTCCACCACCGTCTGAATACAAAGCTAAATGCTCGAAATAAAAAATTGTGGATTATATGAACGTTTAAAGATAAATTGTAGAGAAAATGCGAATTTCTTCCCCATAATAAACTATTAAGACTAGAACACATTAAAGAGATAGGACAAGCTTCGTAGAAATGTTATCAGCGCTGGACCGTTAAAAGATCTCTAAGCATAAAAATCTGTTGTATACTTTCCGAAAGGCTTTTCCCTAAGCGTCAACTTCCCAAGTCTGTCCAATCCGAAGCGCTCGGTCCCCATAGCCTGTTATTGCCGCGACGCTCAGTCCCATTGCAGCATGTGGAGCCTCAGAATGCCAAAGCTTATCTTTGGCCAGTTCCCACTTGGGATATTGTCACTTGGGGAAATCATATTTAGACTGTTTTATATGTATTCTCGAGAACTGTCAACCTATACCTGTATCCTTGTCCAATTAAACCTAGAAGTTTTGTATCACAGTGAGCGCAGGTTTGCCCGGGCATGCTGGTTAGGACCAGAGTATGATTGCGCTGATCTGCCGGACTGAGTAGGTTCCTGCACATCTCCAGGTCACGGTACCATACTCTAGAGAGAGAAATATGTTATTTTAAGGGACTCATGACGCGATTTCGAGTATACTCCTCTTTTTAAACTTGAGCTTGACTGAGCAAAGAATATCTCCTCATTTTTATATCTAAATCATTCGTATTTTTAAGTGGTTTCTCAATTATTGCGGATTTATGCAGCAGGGACAAGGAAGGAAATTGAAAATATTTTACACAGGGATATTACCTTTACACAGAGATGTTACCTTTACACGGGGATATTACCTTTACACAGGGATATTACCTTTACACAAAGGATTTACTATTTACACAGGGATATTACAGAGTATCCCACGAAACATGACAGTTGGTAAATAGTTTAGAACGTCTTCTTCCATAATTTGTTAAGTCATTTAATACCAAAGACAATAATAAAAATATCATATAGGTGTCAAAATAGTAAAATTAACTTCAAAGGAAAATACATTTGAGCAAAATATTTGTTAAAGAAAATAAACTGCAAACAGCGTTTAATATTTAATACAGTGTATGGAAGAAGACTTTCAAAACTATTTACCAACTTTCATGTTTCATGGGACACCCTGTACCTTTACACAGAGAATTTACAATTTACATTTACATTTATTAAATATAAATATTTACTTTTACAACTTAAAATAAGTGAATATGATACACAGGGATGTATATCTTTTACACAGAGAATTTACAATTTACAAATTGTATAGGTACAAAATACACACCGGTCTCATACCAGTCCTCTAATGTTTAAAAGTAAAATCTTGTAATTTTCTGACATGTTATTCTTTATAGCTAGAGCTTAATAGAACCAGAGCTACTCTCTGAGGATGAGACTTCAGAGACGACTTTTCAGAATCTATACTGTCTGTTTCCGTACACTCATGATTCCCTGCAACTGTAAACTGGTTTTTTTTATAGAATCATTTATTTTCATTATACAAACCATGAAAAGACTCCACTTATTACAGAAGACGATATTTAGTCTTATCCTTTTTGGGTAACCCTGTGTAGTACCTGATATCATGCTTTCCCTTGCAGGTAAGAACTAGGGGAGGAATTAAATTCATCTTACTTTGCATCCTGGAGACAAACCTTTAAAGTAGAGAAAATACTCTTGCTAAAGCAAGATGCAGGGTTCAAAGAAAAACTGAAATACAGTCATTTAGTGAAGGATTTAAGGATTTTAAATCTCTCTGGAGAGTCGAATGTTACATATAAAATAGGGAGTGGTTTAACACTACGGACTGAAAAAGAAGGTTTGACTCTCTCCTTATGTGATCTCCTCCATTTACAATATCATAATCCTTCAGTTTTAGAGCAAACTTGAACCGGAACCTAGAAAACAATTAACATCCAAAAGCTAAAATACAAAAAATATTTCGCATTTTAAGATTTTATCAATATTTGTCTTGTAAAGAATGTTAGTGAATAGATTTAAACCTGTGTTGCAGAATCCTAGGTTTAGAGCAGAAGATAATGATTGTCTGAAGTAAGAATGCATATTCTGCTTCTCCCTGGTTTCCGAACCCACATAGATCTCCAGCTCTCACTAACCGTCCGTAATCCTTGAGTTTAGACCAGGACGGGAGATTCATGGATTTTATTGATCTCTCAACCTTCTCCAGTATCTGGAGATCCTTAGTGTCCTAAACATATTAATGCTTAAAAAATACTGGAACTTAGAACTACCTGAGATACCTGAGCATATATTCTAGAACTACCTGAGATACCTTAGCATATATTCTAGAACTACCTGAGATACCTTAGCATATATTCTAGAACTACCTGAGATACCTGAGCATATATTCTAGAACTACCTGAGATACCTGAGTATATATTCTAGAACTACCTGAGATACCTTAGTATATATTCTAGAACTACCTGAGATACCTTAACATATATTCTAGAACTACCTAAGATACCTGATTATATATTCTAGAACTACCTGAGATACCTGATTATATATCCTAGAACTACCTGAGATACCTGATTATATATTCTAGAACTACCTGAAATACCTGAGTATATATCCCAGAACTACCTGAGATACCTGAGTATATATCCTAGAACTACCTGAGATACCTGAGTATATATTCTAGAACTACCTGAGATACCTGAGTATAAATCCTAGAACTACATGAGATACCCGAGTATATATCCTAGAACTACCTGAGATACCTGATTATATATCCTAGAACTACCTGAGATACCTGAGTATATATCCTAAAACTACCTGAGATACCTCAGTATATATTCTAGAACTACCTGAGATACCTGAGTATATATCCTAGAACTACCTGAGATACCTCAGTATATATTCTAGAACTACCTGATGTACCTGAGTATATATCCTAGAACTACCTGAGATACTTGTGACTCCTCTTGTTCTTCCGACCTTTTCATCTCGTTAATCTCAAGGTTAAACTCAGTAAATGCCTGGAAAGATTAGCATGAAAAGTAGGCGCGAAGCATATACATTTTGAATTTCAATAATAAAATTTAGGTTATTTATAAGAATGATTCAGGAGACCCATGTCAAACATCTTTCTAAAAAATTATAAAATTGAAAATTGCAGTTTAAAGGAATTAAATACATAATTTAGCTAAATCTGTAAATATATTCTTTTTGGAATAAACTGTAATATTCATAGTATTATATGAATGTAAACTTTACAAGATTATTTAAAATTAGAATATTAATGAATATTTGGAAATTCTATGTGAAATGTACAGTATGTTATTACATGTGACACTAAACATAATAAATTCTATGTGAAATGTACAGTATGTTAGTAAATGTGACACTAAACATAATAAATTCTATGTGAAATGTACAGTATGTTAGTATAAATGTGACACTAAACATAATAAATTCTATGTGAAATGTACAGTATGTTAGTAAATGTGCCACTAAACATAATAAATTCTATGTGAAATGTACAGTATGTTAGTAAATGTGACACTAAACATAATTAATTCTATGTGAAATGTACGGTATGTTAGTAAATGTGACACTAAACATAATAATTCTATGTAAAATGTACAGTATGTTAGTAAATGTGACACTAAAAATAATAAATTCTATGTGAAATGTACAGTATGTTATTGTAAATGTGACACTAAACATATGTAAAATGTACAGTATGTTAGTAAATGTGACACTAAACATAATAAATTTTATGTGAAATGTACAGTGTGTTAGTAAATGTGACACTAAACATAATAAATTCTATGTGAAATGTACGGTATGTTATTAAATGTGCCACTAAACATAATAATTCTATGTAAAATGTACAGTATGTTAGTAAATGTGACACTAAAAATAATAAATTCTATGTGAAATGTACAGTATGTTATTGTAAATGTNCAATAAATCATCATGTTTAATGGAACACTGTTTATTAGTAATAATGACTCCAAGAAGACGACCTACACAGCCCAATAAATCATCATGTTTAATGGAACACTGTTTATTAGTAATAATGACTCCACAGCCAAATAAATCACTGTATTGTATATAAACCTGTTGACTAAGTTGAAGGTTAAAGAACTGAGGATGAGTATCTTCTGTAAACTTAAGAATCTCTCCTGAAATAATTAATAATTATTGTTAAATTCATAAAACTTTATTTCTATACAATTAAAATTAAAAACATTGGAATGAATCCGTCTACATTGAGAACCATGAAACTGTGGAATAGGAAGACGACAGTTAATCAATACTTTAGTGTATTTAATGTTGTTACAAATCAAATAGTTTTACTGGTAACTTTTTAAATCACTTATTAAGTCAAATGGGTCTGTTTACACTGCACAATTGCTCTGTGTCATGTTCATAACTTGGTTCTAAAAGTCGACTTCCTATTTGACAGTTTCTTGTTCTATGAAACTCAGCCCGACATTTTGCACAGATATTAGATAGTATAAAACTGTTAAAAATCCCTATTCTGTTGCGGCATTTAAGAAATTAAGAGAAAGAACGAAGACAACGTTGTGCATTATACATCCAGGGGAGAATAAAGAGGGGGGGTATGGGGCTAAGTTCACCCCCCCCCTGGAAAAGTGTACTGTGATTTTAAGAGAGGATTTACCTCTCCTAAAATGCCAAAAAAGGTTTAGCCTCCCCTCCCTCTGGACAACTTAGCAAACGCGCTTGAATTTCATTCTTTTTATGATTTCCAGAGCTTTGTACTATTACAACATTTTATGATTTGTATCAAGATATAAATTCCATACCCTATATCAATGTTATTGGAATGAAACCATGAATTATAAAATTCTTAACACGATAAAATCTCAGAAGCTACTCAGAGAGTGCAGATTATTTGATAAAAGATACAAAAGATTCGGAAATACGAAAGTTAATGTGAACTCTGTTGTTCTTTATTCTCTGAGATTTATTGCATAATCCACATTCTCCAAATTCTTCACGTTTCCTCCATTAAATGGACATGGTCAAGAAATAACAAATCTGCAACTAAATCTTGTTCAAGGCAAAACAGGCTCTCAGGAACTATGTAAAAAATCAATATTTTACAATTGAATCAAGGACAAGAGAAAAATAAATCCAGAGGCAGAACTTTCATTAAAGTGAAAAAAGGGAATTTTTATCTACTTAAAACTTTTTAAAAAATAATTCAAATTTAAAGAACTGAAATTTCATTTTTGTCAAGGACGGATGGTGAGGAAATTATTTTTTTGTATTATTTTATATTACATCCAGGATGTCCCTAAATAAAGTAAACCAAGCTCAAAATTATTTTCATTAAAATGCGCAATTTCCATTTTCTCTCATATTTCAACCATTATGCGTCGTTATAGGGGGTTCCGATGGCAAGATGTGAGATCATTACGTTATATAGGTCTCACATCTATGCAGTTAGACGTGAGTCAAATCATGTTAGATGCGATTGTGAATAAAACATGTTAGATCTGACTCAAATCTTGTTAGATGTGATTCAAATCTTGTTAGATGTGACTCATGTCAAATTTCCTTTGAAAAAGAATGTTTGATAAGATATCCATATCTCTTGAACCCAACTCATTTGTTATGCTTGACCATACTTTAGTATAAGAACATATAAATTGGATTCCTTGTCCTAATATAGATCTTTTATAGACTGGAACTAAACAGAACATGTGTTACAGGCAATTAAAAACTATTTAAATGTATGCAACCAAATCTAGATATTTTAAATCACGGTGAAAATAATAAAATGAAAAATATATTTTTTTATTAGTCAATAGACCATTTTAAAAACAATGCAACAGTTTTTTAATTTAAAAAGAAAACTTAAAGCTGGATGACCTTTTTTCATTATTTCCAACCTAAGAAAGAGGAAGATATCAAGAATTTTATGTTTTATATTTTTAATAACTTGGATATCCAGCTTTCTCTATAAAAGGCAACCCAAGCAACTTAGAATTTTTAAACCAAGCTAAGAAAATTCTTGGGGTTCTACCTAATTTCCCAATCAAAATATTTGATGAACGCGGTCAAAGGGTTCCTGAGTTAGGATCGGACATCCATATAAACAAACAATCAGACAGACAGAGATTAGTACTTCATATATAAAGATGAATCGTAGCGCGGTGAAATACCAGTTCTTGGTCTCAAGACAAAACCTACCCAGCATTAGATGGTACTTGAGAAGGCGTTGGAACGGTATAACAACATGAGCGGAGAGAGGAAAAGAAGATTTTGATCTGAGACGACATTCTTGTAGCTCCTGTTTCAACTCAGGATTTCTTAAAAGAATAAGTTTCAGAAAAATTTTATTTTTTATTTCTAAATAAATTTTTGTTACCTAAGCTCTTCATTTTGAATTATTGTTTGAACTCTAGACAACCCGACACAGTACTCCCTGTATATCGAGAACATGGAGAAGTTTTTCATCAAAACCTTCCCAACATCATTCTTGGATTCTCTGAGTTCCTGTAGGACGGTTGAGTGGAGTAGGATCATTTCATCAAGGTTTTTAAAAATTAAGGATTTAAGCTCCGGAGAAAGCTGTTTGATCTGGTCCCGGAAGAAATCCCGAACCATTAGAAGATTTCCTAGAAGAAGATAATTGCTATCCATTTGATATTTTTTATTATTTCCACATTACCTAGATAATTTTCTTCCGTTTCAAGAAACTCTTTGATGGGATATTCTCTCTTACTTCTCCGAGTACTGATAAATGATCTAGTTCTTCTAGGTTTGTTTGGTGAGACAACGGACTGATAAATCTCCTCATAATCTCCTGCATTTTCAGTTTCAGCAGTCTCCGTCTCCCCCCGGTCATACAGCTGACGGAGCTCATCATACAACCCTTCCTCACTCTCCAACCTTCTCTCTAGTTTCTTCTCCTTCTTAGGGAAGCCAGGGATATTAAATTTGGCAGCTGCAGGGGTCCAGGACAAGGCTGAGAGAGTTTATAATAATAATGTAGTAGAACGATGAACTTAAAATATCCATTAACCCTATTTTTTCTTAATGAATGATACTTGTTTTAAATCTAAACAAGCAAAGTGTACTTTCCCTTTAGAGTCGAATAAAGTCTTTGCAATGTTTTCCTTTAAAACAATGTTTACCAATGTAATTTTAAATGTTTGTTAGCAAACAAAGATTTAAATTGACATTATTTATTGTCAAGAGGTTTTTACAACACACGTAATTCTACATTTTATTTTTAATAATAATAATAATAATAATAATAATAATAATAATAATAATAATAATAATAATAATAATAATAATAATAATATAAATAATGATAAGTAAATAATAATAGTTTTAGTATCTATTTTATTTTTTTTGTAGTATTGATTCAATAATGATTATGATTATGATTATGATGATAATTATGATAATAATATCGATAATTATAAATGATAAATGATAAATGATAAATGATAATTATTAAAAATGCACCAGTTAAAACAGAAAAATCTGCGAAATTATTTATGTATAACCTTGCCAACATCCTGGTACTGGTAGAGACAGGTTGGGTCGAAGAAGAATGATTCCTCCAGGTCGAAATGAGTAACCACTGATCTCAGGAACAGGAAGATATTATTCCTACAAACAAAATCCTCGACAGAATCATCTTCTGGTGGAGAATATACAACCTAGAACAAAGATGATTAAGATCAAGGTTATAATGCAAGGAAAGTTATTTCAGAGGCGTACACATTTGTTTTACTGCAGTGTACTGTCGGAAAAGTAAACACAAGACGGATGTCACAGTCTGACATGGAATCCATTTTCACAAAAACAATCTATGAAATATTCTGGCCATAGGAAACTATATAATGTAAATTATCAAAATTATTAAAATTAAATGCTTTTAGCTGCCTCGGATACTAGACGAACACTGATGCATCTATTCTTGTTTACAAATTCCGCCCAGAGAGAACTGGTTTCAATATGTACGCTGAGTATACGCGAACGCAATTCACTTTCCTTGCATTGATACCTTGATTAAGATTGTGTTTGTATAACTCAAAGATTATACAGCTATAGGACTGTGTGTAATAATTATATTAGCTGTAAAGCCTATAAGTACATAAAAACCTTTATACTAAATATATCTTCAATTACTTTAGACCGCATCCGAGTTCTCGTATAAGGCCAACTAATGGCCATTCTTAAGGATTATTAAGTAAAGGCTTAACGTTTAAAGGTGAAGGTTTAACGTTTAAAGGTTATCATACTGCAAATCTGGTACGATCGTAAAATTTCAATCCGTCATATTGTTGTTTAGATTGACCATTCGTGGAGAATATTATCTTTTGATTCCCTGCACCTGTAACTTGCACATCAAAATGTCTTTTATCAAGAAGGCAAAAAAAATTTATCCGTTAAGCTGTTATATTTAAAGAGTTGAAGGTCCTGAAAGTAAAACGGAGAAAATTTATTCGAAGTAGTTTCTTAGTAAAACTATTTTCATAAGAGTTGTTTTCAAAATCATCTACCTTGGTTAGATCTATACTATTTGGATCTAGAGAATGTGCAGCTTGGCAGAGAATAACTCCATTTCTAGGATAAATATCAGATTAATACTTAAATTGTTTTAATAAAAAAGTTAGGACAATTAAAATTCTAGATCGTTTTCAAAATGGCGTCTCAGAAACAGGAACAGCACGAAAATTTATTCCTATTTTGGTTTTTTAATAAATTTATATTTTTTCATTGCCGAAGACCAGTTATAAATAGTTTTTTAAGCTGATCCTTAGGTCTGGAGTCAGTTTTAAGTCTATACCTGAGAAGGTTGAGTAGATCCTGAGGTCTAGAGTTAGGTTTAAGAGATGGATGTCGAGCAGGGATTAATCTGAGTTTATCCAACCAAACGGCACACTGTCTCCAAAGTGGGTCTGAACCACTCATTTTATAATCCTAACTCATAATAAGATCAAAACAAAATCAGGAAGGTCAACTTTCTTCTTATATTTTTATTTTTCAAATGATTTCAAGTTTTCTTTATTTTAAATCTAAGAAGTATTTAAAGGTTTCATTTTTTGTATCTGAAAGAGGATAATAAATGAATTATAAATATTTACATGTTAAAAAATAAATATGGACAAAAAATTCCAAACCTTACTCTTTAATATTTACCATGAAACCGATCAAAGTAATCTTCCGTTAAGAAACCAAAAGATTAAGTTCAATCATGAAACCAGAAGATTAAGTTAAGCGTTCAATCATGAAACCAGAAGATTAAGTTAAGCGTTCAATCATGAAACCAGAAGATTAAGTTAAACGTTCAATAATGAAACCAGAAGATTAAGTTAAACGTTCAATCATGAAACTGGAAGATTAAGTTAAACGTTCAATAAAGAAACCAAAAGATTAAGAAACTCTTTCATCATGAAACCAGAAGAATAAGTCAAATGCTCCATCAAGAAACCAGAAGATTAAGTTAATCTTTTATCATAAAGCCAGAAGATTAAGTTAATCTTCTATCAAAAACCAAAGGATTTAGTTGATCTTCAATCATGAAACCAGAAGATTGAGTTAATCTTTCATCATGAAACCAGAAGATTAAGTTAATCATCCATCATGAAACCAGAAGATTAAGTTAATCTTCCATCATGAAACCAGAAGATTAAGTTAATCTTCCATCATGAACCAGAAGATTAAGTTAATTTCCATTATGATACCACACTAGTAATAAAAAGCTGGAGAATATATAGTTTATCATTCATGTTTATAAATTTATGGTTTTTCCTGGAACCTGAGAATACTGTATGTTTACAAGTTTCTAATTAAATGAAATCTTATGATGAGTTACACTTGGATGGCTTAACTTGAGTTAACTAAAATCTAAAATACATCTAAAACTCAGAGAAAACTGTTTAAACTGTTGGATGTGCTACACTAGAACCGTAGCTATAAACACTATGCATGCACTGCATAATCCAACCTGAACGGATAAAGTAAACATTAGAAGCAAGTATTTTATATGATTCAGATTTTCTTTAATGATGAATATTATTTCCTTTAAATAGTTTGAAAATTATGACAATGCGTGTCTTGACCTATCTGAATGATTCATGGAAACTGCGTAGGTTGATCCTAAGAATTAATGTTTAAGGATTAAATTATAGATATTTGTAATATGTTCAGTGTTCACACTATTGCACTTTACTCCAGACTTCAAGGTCAGGTATGATATCATGAATGTATCCTGTCTTGTCTACCCTGTATCCAAAGAGGAATAATACCAGACCACGGGATGATACAGAATATAAACGCTTTGTATTTAATCCGTATAGCTGAGATATATGTTAGGACGGATATGGAGTATTATGTGTGGAGTATATGAGAGTAGAGCCAGGACTAGACTGGTTACTCACTATGAACACACCTACCTGTTCTCCTGTATACTAGTTTACAGGTGTAGCCAAATACAAACCGTCTTCGATAAGAAACAAGGATAAAAGGATACTATGCAACGTAAACACAGAAAAGTATACAAGGATACAGAAAACATCTGGATATAAGGATACAAAGATACAGGAACACAAAAGTATACAAGGATACAGAAAAATAATCAGGATATAAGGATACAAAGATACAATTATAATATGGACAAGTATACAAAAGATACAGCATTCAATAACTTAAGGAAACAGAAGGCTTACGGATACATGGATACGGAATACAAGAAAACATGGATACCATCAGAATATGTACATTGACAATGATAAAAAGGATACAGATGGCAGAACACAAGGCTATTTGATACAAGGATACAAAGATACAACCAGAATGTGTGCAATGATAAAAAGGATACAAATTTCATAATACAAGGATACAGAGTTTGCGGATATCAGGATACTATCAAGAATAGTAACAACATGGCAAAATGATACTTGATCCGTTTAATGATACTTGGACAAAGGCTGCAATGATACAAACAACAGTAAACTCTGAATACCACAGACAATGCTACACATGTGTCAAAGAATCACTTTCAGGGGCGTACGAGGGTGGGGGGCAAAGAATTCCTTTATAGAATCTAGAATTACAAAATACATATATCACCATAGTTTCAGTAGAAGTAAATATTTCAATTTACTGTATAGCGCCGATATAAGGATTTATCTCTAATTGGATAATGAGCTAGATAGAAAGATAGACATTACCGCCATGCAATTTCTATTGGTTCAGAATAGACATCAAACACATGGCTGAACCCTGATTGGATCAGGCGCTAATGGACTCGGCATACTAGATAGAGTGATATACAGGTATCGGATTGTTTAATGCTATTTAATATAAATACCAATCTATATTAATACAAAGTTAAATGAAAATAAGAGAGAAGAGATTAAAGAAATCATAAATTTATGTACAGTTTAACTCTAAATATTAAATACACGAAAGAAATTTATCAAATGTCGTATTCTTTACTTTCTGATAATGGAATGTTGCAGATATTTAGTTTTTTTAATTTAATTATTATTTGGAGCTCTTTAAAACTGTTCCCGCATATTCATGGCTTTTTATTTTTTTTCACAAATATTGAGATTTATGTAAAACTGTACAAAACCCATTGAAAAATTTTAAAGACGATATTTCATAAATTCTTTCGATGTATTTAATATTTAGGGTTTAACTGCATATTTAGAAAAATATCCATCAATTTAAAGACCGGGTCGAATTTTAAGTGTCGTAGTGTCTTTTGGCCTTTCGTTTTACCACACTGATCAACTCATCCTTTTTTGTAGCCCTGGACATGTACATTTTAAAATGTAACGTGCTTGGTTTTTAGCTTAAGTTATAAAGGAGTAAATTTCAAAATTTAAATTTTGATAGATTTTTGCATGAAATCCTGCATATTTTGATTCTGTGTGATTAGAATGAAAGAATTCAAGAATAACACGAAAAGAAACCAAGAAAATTTATATTTAAAAATCTGTTACTCTGAATAAGCTTTATTTCAAAAAAGCTACAAAAGTTTTCTCTTCATTAATAATCATTTCAAACAGTTTTAACAAAATAATAATTTATTCATTCAAATAGTTGATAATATAATTGACTAGTATTAATACTTTGATTGTTTAAGAAAAACAGTAAAATTAAATGTACTTAATTATGTAACATGGCTGTCCTTAAATCTAAACCTTAAAAACTAAATCACTTAAAGCTAAAATCACGTCTCATGGCAGTGCATATAAAAAAAAATATGAATTGTTTATTTGAAGCAGACAGGTCCCACTTCGAATCCAAATGCTTGTCGTGGTTGTCCGTAATCACTTGGGAAGAAATCGACAAGAGGAAGCTGACCAAGTTTCTTGGTTCGAACCTCAAAGATGGTTTTCGATTCTTGATTCGGCTCTTTGGTCTGAAAAAAAAGTCAATCAACTTTTTAGATGCATTACTTTCTTGACTTAATTTTGTATTAAATAAAAGTTCTATACTAATTGTTTTAGAATTACACTTACAGTCCCTTTAAAGATGAAAAGTGAGGTTACCTTGCAACCATCGAGTAGAATATTGGGTTTGTTAAACTCTGCGGAGAACTCGTCTTCATTCTCTCCCTGCAGCTTGATAGCGTTGACGTAGCTAGATGTTCTTGTATCATACCAAGCGGCGGAGTTGAGGCAGGTGTAGGTAAAGTTCTGATACGCCTCTTGGCTCATCAGGCGGAGGAAGGTGAGTTGAACAGGACCCAGAGAGTCGTAGCTAATCTTAAAACCTCCTCGGAGAGAGGAGTACCATCCTTCATGGCTCTTTCTCCAGGGTATGTTCGGCATCCTACTGGCATGGACATCAGGGAATACACAGGTTTCTCCTCCAGCTGTCATGTTACAGTAAACCTTGACAGCATCATCTGTAACTCCCAGGTTAGGGTCAATCCAGTAGAATCCTTAAAAAAAATATTTGTTTAACAAAGGTTAAAATAAAGTGTAATTTAAAAATGTTATTACCGTCCAACATCTGAGGGTGTCCGTAGTGTAAATCCTGACACGTTCTAGCAGGACTATTCCTCGTACCAAGAGGTTTCTTGATCTTCTCCAACTCTATCTTGATGTTATAGATGTCTGTGTAAACTGTTATCAGATCAACGTCCTCGTCCTTCTGAGGTCTGGATTGTCCTTCGAAACTGTCTCCTCTAATCTCTCTCTTGGGTCTGTAGGCTGCAGGAGAATCTCTCTGGAAGAGAATATCTGGAGGAAGAAGAGGAAGTTCTCCAGGTGGTCCTGAAGGTCCAGGAGATCCCATCAAACCTCGCTCTCCCTTAGGCCCAGTTACACCGGCCGTCCCTTTGGGACCAGGTGGTCCCTCGAGGCCAGGTAGTCCAGCGGGACCTTCAGCTCCCTTCATTCCAATAGGTCCAATAGGTCCGGGTTCTCCCTTCATTCCTTGCAATCCTGGTGGTCCTTTCATACCTCCTTCTCCTTTCTCTCCTAGTTCTCCTTTCACACCTGGGATTCCCATTTCTCCCCTATGTCCTTTCTGTCCTCTCCGGCCTCTGGTTCCTTTCAGTCCTTCAGGACCGATATCACCAGATTTACCAGGAGAACCAGGATTTCCAGGAGGTCCGGGAACACCAACTTCCCCAGCAGGACCAGGATTTCCCCGAAGTCCGGTGGGTCCTTCTGGACCAGGGGGTCCTTGATCTCCAGGGGATCCCTGCAGTCCAAGGGGGCCCATAGGTCCAAAGTCTCCTTTTTCCCCAGGTGGTCCAGTGTTTCCTTGTTTACCAGGGGGTCCAGCGCTTCCCACTTTACCTGGAGATCCTTGAAGTCCATTCTGTCCAGGAGGTCCAGGGTTTCCTTGAACACCTCGGTCTCCTTCCTTTCCATGATCTCCTGGGGATCCTGGCTCTCCTTTTATACCACCAGGTCCCTGTTCTCCAGGTGCACCGGGAAATCCTGGAGCTCCAGGATTACCCTTAGGTCCCTCAACTCCAGGAGGACCTCTTGGTCCGGAATCTCCTTGGTTTCCAATTTTTCCTTCCTCTCCTTTGGGGCCTACAGGTCCACGTTCTCCGTGCTTACCATCAGCACCAGGAGGACCGGGTAGACCAGCATTTCCTTGATCTCCCTTATCTCCTTGTTGACCTTCAGGGCCGGGAGCTCCGGGTCTACCATCTCCACCTTTAGTACCAGTCAGACCAGGTTCTCCAGGTAGACCAGAAGGCCCTGGTGCTCCAACCTTACCATGATCTCCAACCTCTCCTTTCAGACCAGGGATACCAGGAGGACCCTGAGCACCTGCAGCTCCAGGAGCTCCGTTGACACCAGGTGTTCCGTCTTCTCCTTTTTGTCCTCTTCTACCCAATAGTCCAGGTGGTCCCTTCTCTCCTGGTGGTCCAATGGGACCTATTTCTCCTCTCTGTCCTCGTGGTCCGGCACTACCTACATCTCCCATATCTCCCTTTGAACCCTTGTATCCTTTAGATCCTGGAGGTCCAATTTCTCCCTTGATACCGTCCTCTCCTGGGTCTCCCTGTGGTCCGGGAGGTCCAGGAAGTCCACGAATTCCGGGTAATCCATCTCTTCCCGTTGGTCCAGGAAATCCAGGAACTCCCTGAGTTAAGTTATCAATACAGTTAAATTTAGATGATTCATTGTATGTAAATTATATATAAAGATTTGAAAATTATCCAGATTATTAAAAACTTACAATTTCCCCCTTATCTCCAGGTTTTCCACTGGCACCAGGAGGACCAAGTCTTCCTTCAATACCAGGCGGGCCTTCAGATCCTGGGATTCCATTAGCTCCTTTGTCACCTTGGGCTCCATAAGGACCTGGTGGTCCCATTTCACCTTTCAGTCCAGGCATACCCTATAGTAGTCGAAGTAAAAATAAAACTTTTAGAATATTTGTTTCGTTTACTGGTTTTTTTTTACTTACAGGAAGTCCAGGTAGTCCTCTTTCTCCGGGGAAGCCAGGAAGGCCTGATGGTCCAGGCATACCAGGTCTACCTTGAGGTCCTGAGGGACCAGGAGCACCCTCCTTACCCATCTCTCCAGGTCTTCCAGAATCCCCTGGAACCCCAGGAGTTCCTGGGACTCCAGGTTCTCCAACAGGTCCAGATTCTCCAGTTGGTCCAGGTGGTCCAGCTACTCCCGGAGCTCCTGATAATCCTTGTGGTCCAGGTTCGCCGGGGGGCCCACGTTCTCCAGCAGGACCTGGTATTCCGTCTTTTCCAGGTATTCCTGGTAAACCAGATTCCCCAGATGTTCCACGGGGTCCTTCAGGGCCTGGAACTCCTCCTTCTCCCATAGGACCTGGTGATCCTGGTTGTCCTGTATCTCCTTTTGGACCTGATCTTCCAATGCTTCCTCTACTTCCAACCTTTCCTCGGAAACCTCTAGGCCCGGTCAACCCTCTTTCTCCGTTTAATCCATCCTTTCCTCTTTCCCCTTTGTCTCCTACAGCTCCATCCCTGCCTTGAGTACCCTTATCTCCTTTTTCTCCGGGGCCTCCAGGATATCCTGCAAACCCAGGTTCTCCAATCTTTCCCTTCTCTCCATTTGGTCCGAGTGCACCGGCTTCTCCAGGTGGTCCTTCTGATCCTTTAGGTCCTTGAGGACCCTCAGCACCATTGATTCCGTCAGGTCCATTTGGACCTCTGTCTCCTTTGGGTCCCATATCTCCTTTTTGTCCTTCCAGTCCCAGTTCTCCCTTATCTCCTTTATCACCTTGAAGTCCGCGCTCTCCTTGATCTCCCTTCACACCTCGTGATCCGGGAAACCCAACAGGTCCCTTAATAGAAAATAATAAATAGCAGAATAGAAAAATGACTATTTTAAAACTCTTACATTATGGCCTTCCGGGCCCTTGTTCCCCTTGGGACCAGGTTTTCCAGGGTGTCCGTTGTTTCCTGGTAATCCATCTGCACCGGGAAGACCCGGGAGACCTGGCTTTCCACGGGGTCCAGCTTGTCCGGGAGGTCCTAAAGGTCCAACAGGTCCAGGTGGTCCGACAGGGCCCTTGTTTCCTGTAACTCCAGGAGGTCCAGGAGGACCTGTAGGTCCCTCATTTCCCTTGGGACCTGGTCCTCCTTCCGTTCCTGGTATTCCAGCTGGTCCAGGAAGTCCGTTGAATCCTCTAGGTCCAGGAAATCCTCTGGGTCCAAGTTCTCCAGGTACTCCAGCTAGTCCAGGGGGCCCGTCTTCACCTGGCAGACCTCTAGTTCCTTCAGCTCCTTTCGGTCCTGAGTCACCCTTGTAACCCCTGTCTCCCTTCTGTCCAGGAAGTCCTGGAAGTCCTGTAATCCCTGGTTCTCCTTTAGATCCTGTAGGTCCAGATAACCCTCTCTCTCCGTCCCGTCCGGGCATTCCAGTTTTACCTTCTATTCCTGTTGCTCCCATTGGCCCTCTCATACCTCTTACTCCTCTTTCTCCCATCTCCCCTTCCTCTCCCTTTATTCCAGGTTCTCCAGGCATACCAGGAGGTCCTGCAACTCCAGTTAGTCCCATAGGACCTGGTGGTCCCATCAGGTTCTGCATGGCTTGGGAAATCATATTTTGAAGGGTGTTGTCTGGACCTTTAGAAGACTCCAGGTTGGTTGGGATGATCAGTACATTTCCAGGTGGTCCCTGAATACCGTCCATCCCTTCCAACCCATCCCGACCAGACTCTCCTTTCATTCCAGGTGGTCCTGCAGGACCTGGCAATCCAGGTGGTCCACGTTCTCCGGGTTCTCCAGGTACAGATACAAAGGTTGGTTCGACCAGGGTAAAAGGTTCTTCAATTTTCTCCGGTTCTACCATCCTCTCAGTAAACTCTAAGTACTGTTGCGGAGATAATCCCTCTCTATCCAGGATATCCCCTTCATCCATCCCTCTGTATCCCGCGTTCCCATCATCTCCTTGGTGGTTTTCATCTTCAGATTGAGGCTGGTCACATCCAGGTAAATAATCCCTACATAGATTATAAGCTGCCTCAGGGCTTCCAACGATCTTCAGAAGCTGAATATCTCCCTAAACAATATTTCATCAAATCTATATAATAAACCTAGATAAATTTATAATTTATCTAGGATAATAAAGCTCTTCATATACAATAAGAACAGAAAACTGTGGAGTAATAAGACGACATTAAAGCAATCTTTTAGTGTAATAGATGTTGTTACAAAGCAAACAGGTTTTACAGTAGCTTACAAATTAGGTTAATAGGCCTGTGTTCAATGCAAAATCTCAGTATCTAATGTTAATTAGACTGTTTCAAATTTTAACATGAGTCTAAAAGTCGTCTTTCTAATCTATAGTTTTCTGGGTCTCATTGTATATATGTTCTTTATACCGGGTCTACGGCTGGACACAATTAGTTAAACATTTTTAAGGGAACCCATATGTATACCCCGGGCTAAACTAAAATAATTCATTGTGTTTTTAAAACATGGGCAACGCCGGGTAGTATTTTATATTTAACATTTTGAATTGATTTGAGATAATAATTTACTTACATCAAAGAATGATTTATCATCTATCTCCTGTCCGTAGAGAATTATTCCATCAGTTTTTAATTCCATGTTCCCCCTGTCTATGGTTGCTGTGTCTTGTTCTTTACAGTCCAGTATAGCAGTCACAGAGTTTCCTTTCACACTGATTCCTAACCTCTGCCATCTAGGATTCAGATTGAATTTGTTACTGAAGGAATTGAAAACTCAAATTTTCTAATCTCTAACTTTAAATCTTGACGGTGTAGTGAAAAGCTTTGATGATTCAAAAGTATAGATTATTTGATCCAACAGAATTTATATTTTGAAATATCTAAGGTCTACAACATTCGGTTGCAAAGATAATGTGATTAGAAAATCAGAGCTTGTTTCAAAGATGGTTTAAAATGGGGTCGGGACATTACAGAATTAAAGAGTATATAGATAAACAAATCAGACATTTCATAAACATATCCATAGACAAAGAAGAAATTTTAAGATAAAGAGCTTACAAAGAATGCGAGAAAGTTTTTAAATTATTGGAGATAATTTAGTTTTGTTATGAAATATCTACAGTGGGACGTATACAACTGTATATAGAAGGAATACGACTGTTAGGATAATTCATGATTTTTTTTTTCATTTTCAAGGTACTGATAAAATTATTTGCTTTAGTAAGGATTCATAAGGATTCATAAGGAATAATCATAAGTTTGCTGTAATGGTGGTTTCTAATCCATGATATGCATGTGATAAGGTTCGACCCACTTTTTTTTGGATTTTGTTAACTAATTAAATATGAAATTGACAAATGTAAATACAAAATAATAATTTTCTATGCTGAATAAATTTAATTTTTAACAAATTTGAAAACATGAAAAATTTCATGAAGACGACATTTTAAAAATATGTTCTTTGTTTAGACTTACGTGTTTTCCTTTAGTTTGAACTGGAATCTGATTCTGGACTTCTTATCCCCTCCATCGTCCTTGTAGATGAGGATGAACCTCTTAGCCACCTTCACGGAGAGAGAGAGAGATCCATCAGCGCTGTAGATCGTGAACAGCTCGCCGCGGGATCTCCCGGAAACTCGGAAAGCAGCAAGGATGGAGAAATCATACGGAAATCCGTCTAAACAAAATCAATTAATTCCTTTTCTTTTTTCTATACAGAAGTTTTGTTGTAATTTCCAGTGATCTTCTATTTAAAAATAGGAGCAGGCATGATTCACAACGGTACCTTTTCAATTCCTTTAGCTAATCAAAAATGTCAGTTTTATGGCTTGAAAAGTATTTAGTTCAGAAAATATCCTACATTGTTATAGTAACAAATGCTTGCAAAACCTACAATTAAAATTAATCATTTTTAAAGTTAAAAACATAAATACATTATCCATTTTTGAACATACAAAGCATTTAAGAGTACTGATTTGAATTGTGAATGCCACATAAGTCCAATTAGTTTGTGTCTGTACCTGGAAAGGCTGTTGCTGTTGGAACGGATAGAACAGCCTTTTCTTTGAGTCTGTATGCTTTATCTGAAGCATGCTGGCCCTCCCGGTGAGAGCAGATTCCGGTCGTCTTCTTCAGATATTTGAATTGCTGTGATCAGCCTTTGCAGGAGATTGTTTTTAGTTCATTTTTGTTGTCACAGCATGCAGGATTATTTTAAATATGGACAAGGAAAAGAGGGCACTCGTTACGCAATAAAGTTGGGCCTTAATTTGCCCAAGAGCCAAGCAGACACCTCTAACATAACCATGAGCATACATTCAAGGATCAGTCGACGGTCTAAAATTTTATTATTGGTTTAAGTACAGTGAAACCCTTAATAACGAATACATCGGAAAAATTTATCAAATGTCGTCTTGGCAATTTTTCAATGAGTTTTATACTATATTACGTAAATTTCAGTATTTGCGAAAATAAATAAATAGTCATGAATATGCAGGAAAAGTTTTAAAGAACTCCATATAATCATTTAATTAAAAACTAAATATCTACAACATTCCATTATCAGAAAGTGAAGAATACGACATTTGATAAATTCTTTCGATGTATTCGTTATTAAGGGTTTCACTGTATAAAAACCCCGTTATTTATTATGTTGGCAGGACTAGAAAATGAAGAAGAAGAAAAAAATGAAAACTCCGAAGAAATTCAATAAAATTGAAATTTTTTATTCAAAATCGCAAGCTTATATTTGTCAATGTGTTTAACATCTGCCCACAAAGCTCTGTATAAATTATGTTCCAAAGCTCATGATAAAAATATTGGTGGAAAGTTACTGCTTATTTTTGCTAAAACATTCTTGTATTAAACCCATAAAACCCCTGCCTACAATAGAGACTTGGCATTCATTAACTTTTTGACTTTATCAATCTAGAACACGCTTAGATGGAACAAGTTTGAGTTTACAGATGTGATATTTTGGCTGTTACAAAAATCTCTCCGTCGTCCCAACTTTGTATGGATATCAGGGATGAATTATAAAACAGTTCGGACCAAACTGAGAACGCAATTAGTCGACTGGATCCTAGGTTCGACACAAAAAAAATTTGTTAAGTTTTTAAATTCAAGAACCTCTAAGAAATTTTTGGCAAATCTAAATGCTCTCTTCTCGTATAATCTTAAGAGTATAAAAATAGTATATAAAAGTTTTCGTTTTTCTGTCATAAAATTGGAGATGTTTGCAAAATTAAGTTTTTTAGATTTTCATTAAATGCTATACAATCCAATTTTTGACATCCAAACAAAAGCTTTAACCATTTGGACCATTTGTTTGGCCCGTTAGTTTACATATATAAATACTCCTATGAGAAAGACCACAAATGGCCCAAACGGCGGATAATTTGTCCCCAAGCAAGAAAAACTTACATATGAGAAAAGTAGTTTTCTCCCCCCGTAGGATAAAATAGATTTTCCGGCCGGGTTGTGGTCTTTCTCATAAACTTCAAAATTTTCATTTCTTCATTCACCACTTTAAACTCATTTTTCTCTTAAAAGATACAGTGCTTGTAAGTCATATTAAAAATGTTGGTCATTAATATAAATCAAAAATTGTTGGTCAAGTTTAAGAATTTGAAAGAATGATAAATATTATTGGTAAAATATAAATCATGTTTAATGATATTCTCAATGTATTGTCTCCAACACGACGATGACTAAGTACAGGAAGAGTCTGCTGTGTGTATAGATTGACCTGCTGCCCAGTGTCCAGCATGACTCCGGCTGCCGGGGTGTATGTCGGCACGTATCCGGATCTCCGTGAGAAGGCCGGACTACGGCCAACTCCGAGCCTTCTTCCTCACTCCGAGGTCTGCGCTCCACTGAACAACCGGAGTTAAATCTAGGGGGAAGAAATCACGAAGTTGAGGGATTAAAATAGGTCACACAAATACACACTAGGCTTACCACATGTTAAACAGGGGGCGCTACCCTGCTCCAGGGGGTATAATAACTAAAGAGAAGTATACCCTGCTCCAGGGAGTATNTGTAAAATTAATTATCTCCGCTTGTGGAATTGATAATCTTCGCATGTGGAATTGATTGTCTCCGCCTGTGGAATTGATTGTCTCCGCCTGTCGAATTGATAATCTCCGCCTGTAAAATTAATTATCTCCGCTTGTGGAATTGATAATCTTCGCATGTGGAATTGATTGTCTCCGCCTGTGGAATTGATTGTCTCCGCCTGTCGAATTGATAATCTCCGCCTGTAAAATTAATTATCTCCGCTTGTGGAATTGATAATCTTCGCATGTGGAATTGATTGTCTCCGCCTGTGGAATTGATTGTCTCCGCCTGTCGAATTGATAATCTCCGCCTGTAAAATTAATTATCTCCGCTTGTGGAATTGATAATCTTCGCATGTGGAATTGATTGTCTCCGCCTGTGGAATTGATTATCTGCGCCTGTGGAATAAATAATCTCCCACTGTTGAATTAATAATCTCCGCCTGTGGAATTAATGTTTTCCGTCTGAAGATTTGATTACCTCTGCCTGTGAAATTGATAATCTCCGCCTGTAGAATTGATGATCTCTGTCTGTGGAATTATTAATTAGGTGAAAATACCACATACATTATAATTCTAGTTCTAATTCTAGTTCTAGTTCTAGTTCTGGCAAATGCACTGAGGGTACAATCCTGAAGATGAAACATTAGCCCAAAATAATTTATGATTTAAAATTAAACACTGACATGATTTTTAACATTATTTTTTACAATTTCCATTTTTATAATTTGCGGGTGTAAAATCAACTTTATAAGTGGACAACATTTTGATAATTACCTTGCATTCATAAACTTTTTACAGTTGCATATATTTTAAGTTTAAAACGAAGCCGACATTTGGAGAGAGAACTGAAAATAACTCTTTAATTTCAAGTTTCATAAAATCTTTATTTATAGTTTAAAATTCTAAAAGTTTTCTTGCTTGTATATTATTAAATTTATATTTCCCATATGTTTATGTTTGCACATATGTTTGAGTGAAGCTATGGATCTAGGCCGCACATATTTATTTGTTTGTTTTTGTCAACACTCCTCATTCATTAATTCATTAATTAGTTTGGAATTTAAACATGAGCTAAAAATACATGGAATGGGTACAGTGTGTTCCAAAAAATGCGATGTTCATTCTTGCGTTTACCTTTACAGCTATGATGAAAGTTTATGTATTTTAAATACAAACTAGAACTTTTACTGCAGTATTTAGTGCTACACACGCTGATTACTAGCCCCGAACTCAAACTTTCTAATTCCTTAAATTTTGCCAACCTAGTTTGAAGTCTCAAATGTCTACGACAAAATGTTGCAAAGATATAGGGATTAGAAAATTAGAGTTTAATAAGAGTAATCAGATCATTTAAAAAAGTATCGTTAAACGAAACCCCAGAATTTTCTTTTTGGGATCTTTTTTTAATCTAGCATATAGGATATAAAAATCGTATTTAGAGTACAGTTAGACCCGGAACTTCGGAGAAATCGAAAAAAGTTATAAAATGTCGTCTTGACAATTTTTCAATGGGTTTTATACTATTTTGCCTAAATCTCAGTAATTGTAAAAATGAATGAAAAGCCATGAAGCAGTTTTTATGAGATCCATATAATCATTCAATTAAAAAACTAAATATTTGCAGCATTGGCAGTATTAGGTTTAGAAAACGACATTTAATAAATTCTTTCGATGTCTCCGAAGTTCTGGGGTAAACTGTAGCATGCATGTATGTAATTAAATATTTACAACTACTTTACAGGGAAGTAAAGGGAATTATGGGCCGGTAATGTTGATCAAAAGTCAGTAAAATATTTGCATACGAAAATTTCGATATCTACACAAATGCCTTACCCCCTTTCTTTTTCGGGATTAGTTAACTTTTAGGNATAAGGGGGGGGGGAGGTTAAATCTCACAATTCTTTTAAAACTGTAAGCATCATTTCAAGATGAAGGTTTCAATGGTACCGTTGTTTGCACGGAGGGTCATTTTAAGGGTGAACAAATTGTCAGCCCACATTTAATTATTTCCAGGCTTTAACGACAAATTCAGTAGGGAATTCTTAAAAAAAACCTGTAATTTTTGTATTCAGATTTCTATGTTAGCTTCATGGAATTTTTTAAAATATATTCTAAATTTTAAAATTTTTTAGTTATGTCACAATGCAATATGATGAGGGATACTCTGTGTAAAAATAAACATGACTTTAACGAATTTTTATTTATTTATTTAAAATATTTCTGCAAGACCAAACCTTGAGATTTTATCCTTGATGGGCGAATGTTGTTTTTAACTCTTAAAACATGTGTTTTCTGTACATTTATTATAACATAAGAATTATTTGAAGGATTTTACAGACATAATACAAAAAAACATAATTCATATCATTCATACTTTTTCTATACATAACATGTATTTATCATGCCAAAATATTTTTTTTAGAAAGATACATTTCAAATAGTAAAATATTCGGTTTAAATATTTCATAATATAAAAATCAAGGTTTCAAAGGTATTAAGTCTTTGCCACAAACTCAGATTTTCTGATCCTTATATCTTTGCCAACCCAAAAATATTTCAAATTGTGAATTCTGTCAGATCAAAATTAGAAAATTTAAGTTTGTGGCAAAGGCTCAATTCCTTTCTTAATATTTGACACAAATAAGATATCTACTTAAAAAAGGGGTTTAAAAAAAAATCTGTTTAGTTAACATTTTTCAACAAAATTATTAAATTATTAAAACGAAGATTTCAACAATTTCTTTTTCTATGCTTCATTATTTGTTTTGTTTTTGCAATATAATATTTACATATTTCATGAATGGCACAGTCACTGTTGGATATCCATTAAACTGATCAAATATGCATGATGTAGCGAATACGTTGTGTTGTCCTTTAAAAGAACTGATTACTCTCCTCAAACTCTAATATCTTATCCCCATATATTTGCAACCTGATGTTAGAAACCTTTAATATTTTAAACTATACTTTCTGTTAGATCAAATAGTAAAAGTTTAACATATAAAAGTTTTACACTAGGTTATGAAGAGGGGATAGCAAAGTTTGAGGCTCCTTTATTGTATACAACAACGTTAGAACAGCTTTTCGATATTTAGCAGTGTGTATAACGAATTGTTATTTTTTTCACAAGCTTGATCAGATGAATAAAGGGCAGATTAATATGAATAAAAATAACATAATTTACTTTATCTTTTCATTACTTATGCTTTACCTTTGCTTTATCTCTATAATAGAGGGTTTCAATATCGTCTTTGATTAGCAGTTGTCAATTACAACGGGCTTATGTTGTTGAAAGCAGTCACTTAATTACCATGTTTATTGCAATGTACAAAAAGGGGTTTTATTTTAATTAAACAAATTCAAATGTTTGGAATTAATAATAACTAATAAATACATTTAAAATAAGAAATATAAAACTAGATAGAAAGTATTCAGGAATACAGTTTTCAATGAAGCTATTAACATTAGAGATACATTTAGTGAAGCAGAGGTGTCCTTAAAAATAGAAATTTTTAGTTATTTAAAAAACCTCCGTTTTTTTCATTTTAAAAAGTTTTGTTTAATTTATATATTATTTTATAAAAGTGTTTCAGGTATTTTTTTCTTCAGGGTTCACTGAAATATAAGAATGGAGCTCATATTTTATAATGAATATTTGTACAAGTTCTTCATATTTCAAAGAAAGGCATCCGCAAAAAAATCAAAAGGATTTTTCAAACCCGAATCTTGCAAGAACTTAAAATCTGATTGAGTGCCATCATGAAAAATCAACTTTGCAGATTTTCCCAAAACCGGTTTTATTGCCTGAAGGGAAGCTTTGGTAGATTTATAAATCCACAGCCTAGCATATAGCAGCTGAATGTATTCCAGGTACAGGTTAGAGATCCAGGAGCTGTCACGATATTACAGACGACCTGTCCTGTAAACCCTGATACCAACTGCATAGCTGTACACCCAGCCCAGGTACCTGGAGTAAACAAACAAACAAAAGGTTATGTTTTTTTAAATAGTTTCAACGGAGATCAAAACTTTTAAATTCTACAGTTAAGTGAAATTGATCTCCTTGATCACATAACTTTAGATATTCCTGGATTCCGACCATGGAATATTTAAGGTAAAAGTAATAAAAGTAATAAAAGTAATAAAAGTAATAGAATGTATAAATGAGACTCATAAAACTGTGATATATGAAGATCTTAGAAATCTTGTGTGTTATCAAGCAAATAGTTTTAACAGAATATCAGCTTATTACGTGAAATGGGTCTGTGTGTGGTTCATGGTCATTGGACCATTCAAAATCATAACTCTAATGGTCCTCTTCCTATTAGTTTATGGGTATCACTGTATGTAAATGAAATATTGTTAAAATCATGCTGATATCTTACCTACACCGTAAACAGTACACACTGTCCCTCTTGCATCGCAGGTTTTACAGGTTCCACGTGCTTTAATCTCCTCAGGACGGAACAATGGAGGAAGGTTGGAGAGAAAAGATTGTCTCCGGTTAGGAGTAAACCCTAGAGCTGTAGGCGGTCGGAAGGGTTGAGATGGCTTTCTCCAGGACGAATTTGGAGCATACTCCTGGGGGTATTTAGGGTATGAAGAAT